GTCTATTGTTAATTGTACTACTACAGTTGATCCTGATACTAATGACACTGTAACATGTTCCTGTAATCATTTGACAAACTTTGCCTGCCTTGTGGTAAGAGTATAATCTATTTTAAGCAGCTTAATTTTTACTTTTTTTCATTTAATAGGATATTTCATCTAGAACTGGTAGCTCTCCTTCACCACGTCCTGATACTTTTGCATTAAGAATTGTATCATATGTTGGTGTATCTCTCTCACTATTAGGACTAGTAGTAGCAATACTAACATTACTGTATGAGAGTTTAATGCATCAGAGTAAAACTAATATACACTATATCATTGTACATCACACAGATTACATAACACCAACCACATTGGTGCAACCAAAAAAATTTACTATATAACACTAATAATCATTTAACATTGCGTATACATATAACACTCCTTCTCGACATGAAATGAGTGCTATTTCAGCTAGAGCTCTGAATTCACAAATTTCTTCTTTCCTAAACCTTTTGTTAAAATTTTGTTAAAATTTTGTTAATGCATCAGTGAGAGCTGGTTGTATAACAATTGGTGCTCTCATCAAAGAAAAGTGCATAGTGATTTGGATTTGTTCAACTCAAAGAAGCTCATGTTAAGCATCATTCAACTCCTAAGCATACTCGTCATGTTGAGCAAGCTGATGTGATGAATTTAAATTTTTTATTTCCTATAAACTTTAAACATTTTTATCAGTTTATAGTTAATTTGTATGTTCTTGGTAGTGCTGTATATTTTTTACTTCATTAATAATAGCAATATAAACAACCAAGGTAGAATAGATCTAAATCTCCTTTGTAAAATACAAAGAATTAAAAATGTCATTGAAGCCATTGGATAGGGTATGATCCTGGACTAGACAGTTCTCATTGCCAATCATAGTTATAAAGAGTAGTTATTGTATATGTATACATGTTCTCTCTGCAGGAAATTGCTCATGAATGCAAACAGAAGCCACTGAGGTATAAAATTTTATAATCGCTTTCCAACTTTTCATATTTCATTTTCTTTCTGTCTTTTTCCTTTTTTTCAGCTCACTCTGTGTTTATGGCTCTACTTCTTGCAAGGATTGCAAGTGCAATAGCTCTGCTTCTGTGTTTTATATGTGATGTAGGCTCACGTAAGTATATTCCTATTATAATAGTACATGTTATAACTATAATTATTGTGCTGATGTGTTGTCTGTAGTTTTGCATGTACTGTTATTAATGTATAGACTCAGTACAAGTTAGTGTAATGCTAATAGCTCTCCTTGTATTGGGGTAACTGTAAACTGTAATGAATATGGGGGAGTATAGTTGGGTCTTTTGTTTACTGTTGTAAAAAGAGTTATTTCATAACACTAAATTTATATCTAATTATGATGTAAATTTCCTTTTTAAAATTCTTTGTTGTCAACCAGTGAATCACATTTTAGCCATGTTTATGGGTTTATTTGTATTCAGTTATTTCATTAAAATTCTTATCAAGCTTTGTGGAAGCCAAAACAAGAATTGTCTACACATGTTGTCTTGCTCTAGGCTATACATTTATGTAGATGGAGTGCTTTATACAGCAGATAAAACAATTCTATGTAACTATAATATACTGACTATTTAGACTATTAACAATCTAGTATATTCTATGTTAGCTTATAGTCATCATTAACATCTTCATTAAGAGGTAGAGTGTGATAATCAATATTGATCATATTATACTTCAATATATGCAGTGACTTTGAGGCTTTATTTGTTTATGCATGCTTTGCTACTACAGATGTGTACATGCAGTAATTCTCATTGCATATAATTATGTGTTAATGCTATGCTCTTTTAACAGAAAATATCATACTTGATCAAGATCAAAACCCTGTCACTAATTCCTACTCTATTAATCAAGGATATCCACTTTCTCTACTTTGCACAAATATAAATGGAGACACTGTTACATGGAACTTTCTGAACAATGAAGGTATATGTATTATATAATTTCTTTAACTTTTGAGTCTTGCTAATAGTTCAAAGTTTAGCTACGCTAATAGCTTCAAGTTTTATACCATTAAATGATGGAATGAGGAGCCTTATTGAACAAATAGATGCTTTTAGAAGCCTCTATCGTGTGGACATGGGATCAATATCTGCTTTGACCAGCTATACTAATAATGAAAATGAAAATGAAACCATATTACCTAATTCGGACATTGCTGGTCCTTACTCATGTGTCTCTGACAGCATTAATGGCAGTATGACAAATGTGATTATTAATGTCAGAAGTATGTTAATTTATAATTAGATAGACTAATTTTATAAATTGTTTGTTTATACTGTTGTCTCCATGTTAGTCTAATGTCGTTAATAAATTTCTTATACTAGATCCTAGTGGATCCTTTTCTCAGTTCTTCATCAGATCCACTAGTAACCTTTTTAATGTTAGTAATGTCAACAATCAAGAATATCAACTGGCAGTCCTTGAAGCAAATGTATGCTATGAGTCAATCATTCTCTTTGTTGTTTAACCACAAATAATGAATGAAGTTCAACTATGATAGAAGCCATTGTTTCCATAAATACTTGTATATATGAGGCCATGATGATTAAAGGCCACTGTATAGTATAAATCTGTTAGATACCTCTTTACCAGTGTAATATCTTTATCATTGTCATAGTCAAGCTTCTTTTAAATTCAATATCACATATTGCTCCTTTCCTTTGCAGATATTCACTAGAGCTGTCATCAATGGCTTAAATGTATCAGCAGATCCAATAAGAAACATATCCTGTTACTTTGTTCCACTGTAAGGAACACAAGCCCTCAATTACATTCACATCTTCTCATTTAATACATTTATATAGTACTGCATCTGAAGCTAGTGATGAAAAACTGCATCGTTTTGAGTGTAACCTAAAAGAGTATCCATCAAGTGATTCCTTCAGAGAGTCAGTTGCACCAGCTATTACTAGCTTATTATCTGAGCTGGGATTTCAAGACACTCAGACATCAGGTAGACACTGACTATCTGTATTGATGTATATATGCTGTGTGGAAAGGTTGAGCTGATTTCGACTTCAATATTTTGAGTTATGACCATTTTTAAAAATTGGCTAAAATTTGATAAAATCATTGTACTATAGCCCATGGTTTTTCTAAAAAATGGCCCCAAATTTATATTGCATTTTCTAATGCACATTGATGTCCATATGCTGTATGGAAAGTTTGAGCTGATTCTGACTACAATTTTTCAAGTTGTGACCATTTTAAAAAATTGGCCAAAATCTGAAAAATCCTTGTCCATGGTTTTTTCCAAAAAATGGCTCTGATATCACCCCCAAATTTTATTACATTTTTTGATACATATTGATGTCCTTATGCTGTGTGGAAAATTTGAGCTGATTCCGACTTCAATTTTTAAAGTTATGACCATTTTTTAAAATTTGCCAAAACCTGAAAAAATCCCTGTACTATATATAGCCCATGGTTTTTCCCAAAAAAATGGCTCCAGAATCACCCCAATTTTTATTACACTTTTTGATGCATATTGATGTCCTTATGCTGCGTGGAAAGTTTGAGCTGATTCCGACTTCAATTTTTAAAGTTATGACCATTTTTTAAAATTTGCCAAAATCTGAAAAAATCCCTGTACTATAGCCCATGGTTTTTCCCAAAAAAATGGCTACGAAATCACCCCCAATTTTTATTACACTTTTTGATGCATATTGATGTCCTTATGCTGCGTGGAAAGTTTGAGCTGATTCCGACTTCAATTTTTCAAGTTATGACCATTTTTTAAAATTTGCCAAAATCTGAAAAAATCTCTGTACTATTTTCCTGGTTGTAGCAAGGCTACAAAAGTTGTGGCAGCCATTTTGTTTGGGGATGAATCCTACTTAGTAACGCTACCGTGTTACTATATTTATTTATTTTTATTTATAAACTTTACAATACATACTATGGCATGTGACAAAAAGAAAGGAAACTATAAAAAGTTGTATCAAAGGCAAACACAGTATAAAAACTGGCCACCTAAATATATAGCCCATGGTTTTTTCCAAAAAATGGTTTTGAAATTATTCCCAATTTTTATTACTTTTTCTGATACATATTGATGTCCTTATGCTGTGTGGAAAGTTTGAGCTGATTCCGACTTCAATTTTTCAAGTTATGGCCATTTTTAAAGTTGGTCAAAATCTGAAAAAATTACTGTACTATAGCCCATGGTTGAAAAAATGGCTCCAAAATTTTATTACATTTTTGTAAATTTCTTTTTGTAATTCAATGCTCATGAATTATAAATTTGGTAAACCTGCCCTTTTTATAGTTTGTTAGTCTTTATTATGAAAGGGTATGCAATTTGTGCTGTGACATGTTGACATGATTTGCTGTTTGTATGTAGATAGTGGATTCTGTGATCACAATCAGACAACATCATCCTTTGGTAATCATATATGGTCTGAATCAGTTGGTGGTAGTACGTCTGTACAGCCTTGTAATGGCAGCAATGATACCAGGGCTGTCATTAGAATGTGTCAGACCAATGGAGATGGCTGGAGAGATCCTGATTATAGTCAATGTGCTGAAGGAGGAATTGGTGGTAAGTACTCTACTTATAGTTTTGTATCCTTCATTCATTTGTATATAGTGACTGGAACTCTAGTCATTGTTGTTCCTGATAGTGGAGCTATTGAGAATTCTGCTTATACTATAAATGAAGGGTATCGGTTTGCTTTGCTTTGTGCGACATCAAACAGTAGAGAGGAACCAGTTTGGATTGGTCCTAATGGCAATCAAAGTATGTACATGTACATCTCTATATTGTCTCCTGCAATTATTGCTTCTGGCATATGTAATATCAAGAGTGGGGTAATATTTTACTGTTTTATTTTTCAACAGTTCCAGATGTAGCAGTCTTTGCAAACTCAAGCTTCATAATCATCAATGGGAGGAGAGAACTCAATCAAGGAGTTTCTGTGCTTGATTTTATGCGATTGTTTTCCTTCAGGACCTCTGAGGAGAATTCTCAAGGAGTTTTTTTAACAAGTTATTTTAATGGACTGTCTAGTGACAGTGACTTCTTACTCCCTGATTCAAACATTGGCGGTACTTACATGTGCATGTCTGGGAATCAGTCTCAATCTGTATCTGTCAGTCTTAGAAGTATGCATCAATCTAGTGATCCTTTTATTGTCATAATCTTAATTTTTAGGACCCACTGGAATGTTTTCTCGATTTTTTTTCAGGTTCACTGGTAGCATTTCCTCTACAATTAATGTTAATGACAGAGACTATCAATTGGCATTTATTGAGGCAAATGTATGTAGTTAATTATTTTATTGTTATGGCTTTGATATTATTGTTCTGCTTTTTATGTTTTTAGCTGCTTCCAGTAGTTGTTGATGGACTAAATTTTTCAACAGATCCAATTAGAACAATAGCCTGTCAGTTTGTTCCTCTGTAAGTTATTGAGCTCAATCCTAAAGATCCTATTACTATAGTAGTACAGGCACTTTGGCCAAATTTTGCTAAAATTTAAAAGGAGATTTTTCTCCATTTTTATTACATTTTCTAAAACTACATTTGCACGCACTTATGTTGTGTAGAAAATTTGAACTGATAGGGATTTTTACGAATCTTTAAAGTGCTGTCTTTTGTCCACATTGCTTCCAATTCTTGAGTTATAGTTACCAAAAACTTTCCATTATAATTTGTTATGCTATTGTTATGTGAATAATAGTTCACCCTATTTTTAATGCTATAGTTCTCAGTTTAGTAGTAATGGTCAAGACCGCTTTGAGTGTGATGTAAGAGAGTATCCACCAAACAGCTCATTTGTGGGGGATGTTGGAAACAGACTATCTAGTGTCATCTCTAACACAATTTTTCATGACATACAACTATCAAGTACATACTTTAACAATGATTCTTAAAGAAATTTTTATCATACCTTCATTTTCCAGACACTGGATTTTGTAATTTTGAAGAAACTTCGACATTTCCATATGGCTTTTTTACTTGGCCTGAGACTGTTGTTGGTAGTGTTGCTAGATTGCAATGCTCTGAAACTACATTTGCTACTCGAGCATGTAACAATGGAGCTACTTGGGGTGATCCTGATTTTAGTCAATGCAACAGTGGGGGAGGTTGTAAGTAACAGCATTAGTTATTAATACATGTCCACCTTCTGTCCAGTATATGCTCATTATGTTTTCATACTACGTAAATCATTCTTGCATTAAAAAAGTAGCTGTAATACAATGTTACTACATGTATGATGATTTTCTGTTTTTTTATAATAGCAAGAGGATCATTTTCAATTTTTGACCTAAACAGAGTATCTGTCAGAGAATCTTATACAATAAATCAGGGATATATCTTTGGATTGAGATGTGGAATATTTGGGGGTTCAGTCCCAAAAGTGGATACATTTAAATGGTTTGATTCAAATGGAAATGAAGGTATAGAGAAATACTTTTATTTTATGCATGTGGTTGTAACATGATGCTAAGGAGAAATATTTTTTATAGTTCAAAATTTAACCAAGTTCATTGACTCAAGTTTCAGATCAACAAATGAGGGAACAAGACTCCTTAATCAAGGACTCTCCATTGCTGATTTCAAAGGACTCTATTCACATCGATTTATTAATGACTTTGAATTTTTTGATGTAGCATATTTAGTAAGTTATGTGGATTTTGACCGAGAGGGTGAATTGATACTACCTGGTACAAGTATCTCTGGAACATACACATGCAGATCTTCATCTGGGAATTATTCTCAAACAATTTCAGTCAATACTAGAAGTATGCAGTTTACTGCTTTACATTAATTATTATCAATTGTTATTTCAGATCCCAGTGGCTCATTTTCTCAATTCTTCTTCAGGTTCACTGCATTATTTACTAATATAAGTGTCACAGATGTTGAGGATAAAGACTATGAACTAGCAGTCATTGAAGCAAATGTATACACAAATACTTTTTAGTTATGTATTGTACTTCTACTTTTTAACTAGATATTTTTTGAAGCTGTTGTTAGAGGTTTCAACTCAACAATAGATCCAATCAGAACAATGTCCTGTCACTTTGTTCCACTGTAAGTTGACTGCATTAATAAAGTTGTACTTATAGTAATTGAGGTAGAATGGAGGAGAATGGCACTGGTGATCGTGTGGAGTGTGATGTGAGGGAGTATCCACCAAACAGTTCATTTGTGGAAATTGTTTGGCAAAATATAAGTACCTTTATATCAGATCGTACTGAGAATAATGAAATACACTCTATTGTAATGTCAGGTATAGTCTACACCTTAAACATTATTAATTATACAATTGTTGCTTTCTAGTCACTGGGTTTTGTAATCAAAGTCAAACTGAGTCACTAGAATTTGGTGCTCATACATGGCCAGAGTCAGTTGGTACTACTATACTTACAATGCCTTGTGGTAACTATCCACTGATGAATGTCACTCGAATGTGTCAGACTAATGGAGTTGGCTGGGGAAATCCTGATTATAGTCAATGTGAAACTCGTGAGTAGATGAGATATTAATTTGGTGGTTTATTATTGGTATACCATAGGTACTTGTGAAAATGAAACTATTGTAACAAATCGTGGTACATTTCAATGGCCAGTAACACCTGTTGGATCATTAGCTGACCTTCCTTGTCCTCATGGTCCTATTGGAGCTAGAGCTATTAGACAGTGTAGAAGGAATGGTGTATGGGACACTCATGATATATCAAACTGTGCTGATCCTAGGATTACTGCTGAATTTACCAACATAGCTGATGTAAGTGTGTACCAATTGAAGTATTTTAATTTGTATCCT